GGGCCTCCCATTTGCTGCTGCCCGGCCCCTAATCTGCCATGGGCCCCCCTACCCCCTCCCCTGTGCTGCCAGGTTTTTGGGAAAGTCTCTGGGTCCCCGGACGGCCTTCAAATTTCTTTCTGTTCCATCGCCCACTCTTTCCTTTTGCCACTTTTAGGTCTCCTCCCCACTGCTGGGTTTGGGTTTCCCATTTTGTCATAGGGTGCTGGCCGAAATTTCGGGCCTCCCCTTGCTTTCTGCCAGGCCCGTTAAACTGCCCTGGGCCCCCTTTTTCCGCCTCCCCCATGTGCTTTCCCGGCCCCTAATTGTATGGGGGCCCTGTTTTGGGCCCCCAATTTGCTGCTGTTCCATCGCCACAAATTGCCATGTGGGCCCCTTTCAGGTCTCCTCACCCCTGCTGGTGGGTTACATTTTGTCATAGGGGGCTGGCCATTTTCGGGGCCTCCCATTGCTGCTGCCAAAGGCCCCTAATCTGCCCTTTTTCCCCCGTTCGCCCCCCTATGTGTGCCCCGGCCCCTAATCTGTCTTTGGGGCCCCGTTCGGCCTCCCCTTGCTGGGTGTTTCTCGCCAAAAACTCTGCCTTTTGGGCCAAATTTAAAGGGATCCCCACCCCTGCTGGGGGGTTCCATTTTGGGCAAAAGGGTGCTGGCAGATTATGGGGCCCCCCATATGCTGCCAGGCCCGTAATCTTTCCCTTGGGGCCCCCCTACCAACTCCTCATGCTGTGGGCGTTGCAAAAAGGGGGGGAATTCAAAACCCTACTTTGTTAAGCCTTTACGAAACAGCGAAAGGCCCTCACCGGGTTTCCTGATGTTACAAGCGGATAAAGGTACTCCCCTGTGTAACTTTGATGTCAGGCCCTTGGCAGCTCATGGTGACACCCGCCCCTTGCTTTAGGCCCCTTTTAGGGGGGGGTGCCCGTATTGTTTAGTCGGCAGGACTATGGGTTGAACAACGTTTATTTCCTCTGTTGCCCCCGTTCCCGGAACAAAAGGGTTGTTAACAATTTGGTGGTAGGGGTGCGGTGACGTGGAACCCCAGATCTCAACGCCACATGACCCCCTTTTGGGGGGAGGGGGAAAAGGGAAAAAGGGGGAGGTAGGGAGGGCATTGGTGGGTCAGGGAAATTTTTGAGTGGAAAAAGGGTGGTTTTTCCCCTCAGCGGACAGGGAAATGGAGGAAAACAGGGCATCTGGTTTGAGGAGGAGGAGGAGGGGGACAGAGGACCCAGGGGGCACCGTGGCGTAATTTCTGTGGGGATGGGGGGCGGGTCCCCCGGGATTCCTTGGCACAAAAGGCCCTTGCATGCTCGGTTTTTTTGCGTAGCCCACAGGGAAAATTTTTAAACCCTCAGACAGGGGAAGGGGGAAATTTTTGGGTGTCCCCTTGTTGGAACCCCCGCTACCGTTCAAAAATGGTGGGCCCTTTTTTACCCTGTGGGGAGGGGGGCCAAAAACGTACTATAAAAAATCAAAACCCATTTAGCAGTTGGTCTCGCCTTTCTGCGCCAACGTCCATCCTCAGACACTGTGGGCCCTGGTCGCCTCCCGCGTTCCGTTGCCATGGCAGCAGGGGAAGGGGTTGCGTGGTAGTGAGCATGGCAAGCTCCACCAGCAGCGGCAGCCTCAGGTCTGGCAGTCGATGATTGAGTAGCTTTCGTCACTCAGCGCAATGTGAGGAAAACACTAAACCAGCCGCAGCATGCAGCGTGTGCAAGCAGCGAGCATCAGGTGGACCCTGGAGCAGGACCTCAAAACAACATGCTTGGGCCTACTTGGACAAGCACCCAGGCCAACGCGGTGTAGACAATCCCCTTGACTACTGGGGGCACACGAAACTTGACCTTCTGGCTCCTAAAACGAAGCCCAACAGCTGAATTTTGCCCTTGAAAGGCTGTCCATGCCCGGCCTAGTAGTGTGGCCATCGGAGCTCGAGTTTTAGTGCGGGCAGGGAGGTATTGTAACCTTGCCGCGGTTGAGGACACGACAGACCACCCAAAGTGTGCGGAGAGACTCACGTTTGTGAAAATGAATCAGGCGTGGATTAGTACTGGATTTCAAACCACCATTGCCTGACACAACTGACTAAAATCCTCCTATGAATCATGCCACAAACATGGTTAGTATATTTTAACATAGGCCTTGATGGCCTTCAATTTAAGGATGCTTACGCATTCGCTCACTCTGCCAATGGGGCCCCTTGTACCGCCGTCCTCTTGCGCTGCTTGCCAGGTCCAAGAGTGTGTCAATGGGGTCCCTGTGACGGCTCTCACCATGTGCTGCTGTCTCCATCTGCCACACTCTGCCATGTGGCCACATGCAGGTCTCCTCACAAACTGCAGGTGGGTTTCCATTTTGTCATAGGGTGCTGGCAGATTACGGCCTTCCCCATTGGCTGCTCGCCAGGCCCGTAATAATCTGGCCATGGAGGCCCCCTGTACCCGCCTCCTCATGCTGCTAGCCAGGTCCCAAGTGTGTCATGGGTCCCTGTACGGGCCTCCCATTGGCTTGCTGTCTCCATCGCACACTCTGCCATGTGCCAACGTTCAGGTCCTCCTACACCACTGCTGGTGGGGTTCCAATTTTGTCATAGGGTGCTGGCAGATTTACGGGCCTCCCATTGCTGTCTGCCAGGCCTCGTAATCTGCCATGGGCCCCCCGTACCGACTCCTCCATGCTGCTGCCAGTGTCCTGAGTGTCTTAATCTGTCTGTGGGCCCCTGTACCCCGCCTACCTCTGGGCTACTTGCCCAGGTCCAGAGTTGGGTCTCATAGGGTCCCCTGTACGGCCTCCCATTGCTGCTGTCTCCATCCGCCACCGTAATCGCTCTGCCATGTGCCATCTTTTCAGGTCTCCTCACAACTGCTGGTGCCAGGTTCCATTTTGTCATAGGGTCGGACTCGGCAGAATTACGGTTCCCTCCCATTGCTGCTGCTTTCAGGCCCCGTTAATCTGGGCCATGGGCCCCTGCCCCGTACCGACCTCCTCCATGCTGCTGCCAGGCCCCGTAATCTGTCATGGGCCCTGTACCGCCTCCTCATGCTGCTCCCAGGTCCAGAGTGTCTCATGGGTCCCTGTACGGCCTCCCATTGCTGCTGTCTCCATCACCACACTCTGCCATGTGCCACTTTCAGGTCTCCTCACACTGCTGGTGGGTTCCATTTTGTCATAGGGTGCTGGCAGATTACGGGCCTCCCATTGCTGCTGCCAGGCCCGTAATCTGCCATGGGCCCCCGTACCGACTCCTCATGCTGCTGCCAAGTGGCCCGTATCTGTCATCGGGCCCCTACCGCCTCCTCATGCTGCTACCCCATGGTCCAGAGTGTCTCATGGGTCCCTGTACGGCCTCCCATTGCTGCTGTCTCCATCGCCACACTCTGCCATGTGCCACATTTCAGGTCTCCTCACACTGCTGGTGGGTTCCATTTTGTCATAGGGTGCTGGCAGATTACGGGCCTCCCATTGCTGCTGCCAGGCCCGTAATCTGCCATGGGCCCCCGTACCGACTCCTCATGCTGCTGCCCAGGCCCGTAATATCTGTCATGGGCCCCTGTACCGCCTCCTCATGCTGCTGCCAGGTCCAGAGTGTCTCATGGGTCCCTGTACGGCCTCCCCATTGCTGCTGTCTCCATCGCCACACTCTGCCATGTGCCACTTTCAGGTCTCCTTCACACTGCTGTTGGTTTTCCATTTTGTCATAGGGTGCTGGCAGAATTACGGGCCTCCCATTGCTGCTTGCCAGGGCCATAATCTGCCATGGGATCTCTCCCGTACCGACTCACTCATGGGCTGCTGCCAGGCCCGTAATCTGTCATGGGCCCCGTACCGCGCCTCCTCATGCTGCTGCCAGGTCCAAGAGTGTCTCATGGGTCCTCCTGTACGGAATCCCAGTGCTGCTGTCTCCATCGCCACACTCTGCCATGTGCCACTTTCAGAGTCTCCTTCCACACTGGCTGGTGGGTTCCATTTTGTCATAGGGTGCTGCTGTATGGGCCTTCCCATTGCTGCTGCCTCCACCGCCACACTGTGGCTCCACACTCTGGTTTTGGCCTCTGTGACTGCCCAAATGAGTGAAGTGTGCGGTGATTCTAAGATCGACGGCACTTATCTGCATGTCGCATACTGACTGACAGGTATTATTTTCTTCCCCCAGCAGACTCCAAGGGCATTTAAATTAAAGGTACAGTGTTCTGCACTTGTATAAAGGCTCTCTGAAGCCTAGAAACACCATTTTTAAAGTTAAATTCGCAGCGAATATATTCGCCTCGAATCGAAACTTTATTCCTCGAATTCGCAAATCAGCCGAATCGAATTTTTGAAATACTTCGCTCATCTCTACTTGCACCCTATCATTTTCCAGCCAAGTGGTAATCTATGAAATTTTATGACCGTTGTTGTGAATCATTTCTTTTTAGAAAACAAAGTGCCAAAGGTTTTAAACTGCTGTGTGTACAAACAAACATAAATAAAATGGGGATACAGAATTTCCGGGCATAAAAGTATTCAATATATTTACGGTGAATATTTAACCACTTGCCGTCTGCCTGCTGTTTATAAACGGCCGGACGGTGGCACTCCAGGGGCGGGTTGCCGTTCATAAACGGCACCTGCCTTTTCTAGCTGTGCGCACTCCTGGGAGCGCGCAGAGCACCGCGATCCGGTGCCCGCTGTGTCCTCCGGACACAGTGAAACACCGATCGTCGGACGGGACCTCTGTACGAGGTCCCGATCATGTGATCTCTGATTGGCCAATCAGTGATCACATGCAAAAGTAGTAAGCAAGATGTCACTTGTGACATCATTGCTTACTACGTGTTGAAATCTGTGAATGATCACAGAGGTCACATGGTACAAGGCTATTCACAACAGCCTTGTAGCATGTGACAAGCTGTGACCAATCACAGCTCACTCAGTACTTCTCAATGACTGCAAGAATGCAGACAGAGAGAAAGAGAAATTATTGCTTTTACATCCTATATGGGTGTATGGGTCTTCATCACCCCCCACAAGTAGTACAGTGTCACCATGGTGACACTGTACTGCTAGGGTGACAGTTTGTAAAAAAAAAACTAAATAAATAAAAAATAATAATATAAAAAAAAAAAATAAAAATGTAAAAAAAAATGTTTAAAAATTATAATTTTTGGTTATAAACTAATTTGGATTTTTTTTTTTTTTACTAAAAAAATAACGGAATACATTTTTGGCCAAGATTTATGATGAAATATTATTTATTTGCAAAATTTTATAAAAAAAACACTTTTTTCAAAATGTTTAGACATTTTCATTTACATAGTAAAAAAAATAAAAATCCCAGCGGTGAATAAATACCACCAAAATAAAGCTTTATCTGTCTCAAAAAAATGGTAAAAAAATTCATATGGGTACAGTATTGCATGACCGCGCAATTGTCATTCAAAGTGTGATAGCGCTGAAAGCTGAAAATTGCCCTGGACAGGAAGGGGGTAAAAGTGTCCGGTCTGGAAGTGGTTAAGTGGATTTAGGGCTAGATATCCTTAAAGAGTAGGAATATTGAAGTTGCCATTGCTGACCTTTCATTCTGAACATACAGGTTGCTGGGCTGTCATGCTGATCCAATGCCCTCACTCAATTCAATAGGCATAATCAATCTTCGTTTGCAAACAAATGTTTAATACATGACAAATGATTCCCAAAGCACTAGGGGTTTTCTAAAGGAAGAGAAGAGTAGCACTTGCTTGCTTTCTCTGATGAAAATCTGCAGTGTACATAAGCTGGTGATCCTGTCATGAAGGTAATTGTTCAGTCGCTTCCTGCTATAGGGTGACAACCAGGGGCGGACTGAGGAGGGCACAGCCTGTGATTGACAGCCTCAGCTTTGTTCCTGTGAGCTGTGTGAAGGGGGGCTGTGTCTCTTCCCTCCAAGCAGCTCCTAGAGCTCTCCTCACTGATGTAACTTCAGTTTCCTACCCCCTGCTTTTCAGAGCTGAGAGATCCTGTGTAAATTCTGCACTTTGATCCCTGGTTCAGAGCAGGGGTGCCTGACCATTTGGAAACTCGGGCACTGCCCGAGGGCCCTGGGGTCAGTAGGGGGCCCCATGAGATGCCCCTGTGGTACCTTTTTCATAGGCTTTTTTGAGTTTGGGCAAGGACACAGGGGCCCCATGATCCCCTATTGCCCGGGTGACCCATGAGTTGTCAGTCCGCCCCTGGTGACAACACTCTATCCCTTTCTCCCAATTATGCTCCTGAGTGGTTACCTTGTCACATGTACCCCTGGTGGAGACTACAATATAGTGCATCGCTAAGAAGTAGAATCAAAATGCAGCAAAAGACAGAGAAGGATGCCTACCACCTGGTCTTTGACGGATCTAACATCTAGGAAGATTATTCCTACATGCGCATAATCCATGCGTTTCTGGTGAGTGCGCATTTCTATCATTTGAGGCAGAAAAGCTCTGGATATTTTTCACCATTCTAGAGAGCACCGTGGATACTTAATTGACTTTTATTTGCTGCTTTTTGCTGTCTATATATATATTTATTGAAATATATTTTGAAATATATTGAATAAGGCCAAAATTGTAGTATTTCAAATATACGTCAATATATTTGGGAAGAATATTTTTAAAATATATTTCAAAAATATGCTCCAGCCTGGGTTCTAGTAGGTAAATGTTGGTATATATCTTTTACACTATCTTGTTTATTTCTATGCTGTACATTCCTTTTCTTTTTTTAGCTTTTTTTTTTTCCTTTGATCTTTTACGTTGGATCTTACAGAGAGAAATATCTAATGTGACACAATTCATTTTTAAGGGGTCTGTGGGGAGCACAATTGTGAAAACTTTATATGGCAAAGGGGCTGTACTAGCAATAATCTGTAGCACTCAGATGTAGGGCCCATGCACATGGGGTGTATGATTTTACATAGGATCTTGCTTGCAAAAATATTGTTCATACTCTGTCTGCATAATGTGTGATAAAGTTTACATGGATATAGTGCAAATGCACCCTATCGACCCTGTCGGATGCTAGGACGCGGGCGGCTCTTGCCGCCTAGTGTGCCACCTGGACACAAGTAGATATTATCTCTAAGCATCAATCATTGCTGGGATTCAGTCAGCTTTGGTCACCTAGTGTTCTTAGTTGCCTGGACACAGGAGGCACTTCCAGCCTAATGCCCTTCATCACTAGGATGCAGGCAACTCATCCTGCCTAATGTCCTTTGTTGCTAGGATGCAGGTGGCTTTTTCAGCCTAATGTCTTTCATCGGTAGGATGTAGGCGATTCTTCCTTCCTAGCATCCTTTGTCATTGCTAGGACACAGGCAGCTCTTCCAGCCAAACATCCTTCATTGATAGGACGAGGGTGGCTCTTCTAGCCTAACATACTTCATTGCTAGGATGCAGGTGACTCTTTTTGCCTAGCATTCTTTGTTGCTAGGACGCAGTCTGCTCCAACACACCATTTCTTGTAGTTTAAAGTCCCTGACCATTTCTTGTATCCTGGAATCTCTTACCATCTCTTGTAGTTTATAGTCTTTGATCATCTCTTGTAGCCTATAATCTCTGGACTTTTTTTGTAGCCTGTAGTCTCTGTCCATTTCTCTGTCTCTGACAGAGGTGACTCTTTTTGCCTAGCATTCTTCGTTGCTAGGATGCAGTCTGCTCCAACACACCATTTCTTGTAGTTTAAATTCCCTGACCATTTCTTGTATCCTGGAATCTCTTACCATCTCTCGTAGTTTATAGTCTCTGATCATCTCTTGTAGCCTATAATCTCTGGACTTTTTTTGTAGCCTGTAGTCTCTGTCCATTTCTCTGTCTCTGACAGAGGTGACTCTTTTTGCCTAGCATTCTTCGTTGCTAGGATGCAGTCTGCTTCAACACACCATTTCTTGTAGTTTAAAGTCCCTGACCATTTCTTGTATCCTGGAATCTCTTACCATCTCTTGTAGTTTATAGTCTCTGATCATCTCTTGTAGCCTATAATCTCTGGACTTTTTTCGTAGCCTGTAGTCTCTGTCCATTTATTGGTCTCTGACATCACTACAGAATGTACGCCCCCCTACATTGATGTCATGCGCCATATTGTATTAATTACAATATTCTGAAAACAAATATAATCTGATTCCCTGACTATGGATCTTCCAACGGGTCATTGTCAGAGAAGGATACCAGGAAGTGAAGGGACAGATACTTATCTGCTCCTACTACAAATGGCAACCAGGACATGACCAGGGAATATGAAAAGTACAAAAGTACGCGTGAAAACGACAGCTTGCATCTAACAGGAGCCGTATGTTCGGCAAAATGCCGTATTTACCTGTAACTACCTATTTTTACATTTGGCATTTTACGGCATTTTTAATGGTGTCTTTATTTGAATTCTCACAATTCTGTGATATTCGTCATTTGAAGACGCAGGTAAGGTACATATAGGCGCTATTCTTTCACAGGCTGAGCTTCTTTTACAAGTGCAGACTTTGACATTCTCCATGAAAATACATTTATCTGATCAGCAAAATGTCGCTTGTTACGGCGCCCTTCTCCTGTATTCCCTTTCAACGATCGTGTTGTCACCCGAGCTTCCAATATTTCTTTTTGTTTGTAATTCGCGAAAGGAGGACAGATCTTCCGCCGCCGACTTCTGTCTATATCCTGGCAGCTGGTCTATTACACTTAGCTAATCCCGCTGAAGACTCATTTCATCTGCGCAGTTCCAGAGATTAATACAAATCTTATTTGAGGTGTATTTGCTGCGGCATTATGTCATATCGCGGGGGAAAAATATTCAGGTGGCTTCGAGTGTTTGACGGAGGCTCTGTCTGCATCAGTCTTCTCTGGATGTGTTCAAGAAGGTGAAGAGCTGGAGACGAATGATTCCTCCCCTGGCGTCTTATGTGAATGACGAAGGGTAATCTATGCCTGATGCCAGGACGGCACCCCCCCACATCGAAGGACAACCCCAGACAAATGGACAAACACTGGAGGATCCCTTCAATAGCTAAACGTAAACTTCAACTGAATTCCATTAAAGCTGAACACTGGGCAGTGAAATGTTCATTGAAATATATTCCTCAATAGCCACAAGGGTATAAATCCACCATGCCTTTGCAAACCCACATATTACCTTGTAAAAGTGGCCATGACTTCATCACTGTGCTGTATGTAGCCTGAGCAGAGCTGTGTGAGGGACTGAGTAGGCACCACTCACTACAGGCTGCCTGCAGAAAACTACAGGAGGGGGTGGAGACAAGACCAGTCACCCTGCACAAGGAGAGAGAGCAGAGCTGTAGGAGGTTTCACAGCAAGCTCCACCCACTACAGGCTGCCTGCAGAAAATTACAGGAGGTGCGGAGACAAGACCAGTCACCCTGCACAAGGAGAGAGAGCCAGAGCCAAGGGAGGGGCCCAGCAGGCTCCACCCACTACAGGCTGCCTGCAGAAAATTACAGGAGGGGGCGGAGACAAGACCAGTCAGCTTGCACCAGGAGAGAGAGCCAGAGCCAAGGGAGGGGCCCAGCAGGCTCCACCTACTACAGGCTGCCTACAGAAAACTACAGGAGGGGGCGGAGACAAGACCAGTCAGCCTGCACCAGGAGAGAGAGCAGAGCCGAGAGAGGGGCTCAGCAGGCTCCACCCACTACATGCTGCCTACAGAAAACTACAGGAGGGGGCGGAGACAAGACCAGTCAGCCTGCACCAGGAGAGAGAGCAGAGCCGAGGGAGGGGCCCAGCAGGCTCCACCCACTACGGGCTGCCTGCAGGAAGGGGCAGAGACAAGACCAGTCAACATGCACAAGGAGAGAGAGCAGCAGGGACCGGTCTTTATTACAGGAAAAGTGTTGCAGTGGATTACTGCACAGATCTGGAAGAAATACACAAAGCACACCAACAAGTCATGTTACATATGCCTCTTGAATTTATGTATTTCCTATACATATTTCCTCACCCTGGAGTTTAGCTTGAGGTTTGCTAAAGCAGTGTATCATAAACAACTGCCATTTGTTCTCAGTAAAATCCTTTGTTGCTTCTCAGTGCTGCTGATCTCTTTCAGCCTCTTTGCAGCCACGTCCCATCTATATGCGGTCTACTACCGACTGCATGGTATTTTTCCAGGGTGGGTTATCTAATGATGAACTCAGGCTGGAGAATATTTTTCCTTCCCATATGGAAGAAAAATATATTTGGAATATATTTTTAAAAATATTCTTTCCAAATATAATGACATATATTTGAAATGCTACTATTTTGGCCACATTCAATATATTTCAATATATAAAAGTAAAATGTTGTAGCGAGCACTAAATATATATATTATTATTATTATACAGTATTTATATAGCGCCAAAGGTTTGCTCAGCGCTGTACAATAGCGAGGGGGACAGAACATGAGACAAGACAGTAACAATACAATACACGAGGGGTTCAAGGGCCCTACTCTTTCGAGCTTACAATCTAGGAATATATATATATCTATATATATATATATATATATATATATATAGATATATATATATATATATAAAAAAGCAGCTGAAAAACTACTATTTTGGTCATATTCAATATATTTCAATATATATATATATATATATATATATTATTTATATATACACTGCATGTTGAAATGCGTTTTTATTACAAAATATATGAAAAATATTTTTAAAAATACGTTTCAAATGTACTGTATGTCTTTAAATATACAAATCTACATTTTTGGAATGCATTTACAAATATATGTAAAAATATGTGTGAAAATGACTTTTTGATATGTTAAAAAAAAATCTGAAGAATACATTTAAAAAATATATATTTAAAAAATATATTTTTTAAATACATTCTTCAGAACCTGGCACCAAAAAATTCACATAGAGGACTTTTAAAAGGGGGGATCGGGGACCTTTAAAAAAAGAGTAAAAATTTTAAGTTACTCCCAAGCTCTTAAAATCCTCCCCCTCGCCCCAAAGAAATGTTAAGCTTCACTCGCCCCCACATATATGCACATACGAATGCAACTGCATGCGTCGGGGGCGTCTATGCCTGAACACATGAATTGCACTGCACACGTTACATATCATGGCACTTGCACAATAATTCTAGGCCCATTATTCATGGTTAAATCTAAACTGCTGACCTGTAGAAGCTTTTAAAAAGTCGCCTATGGAAAATATAGGGTACTGGGATTTGTTGCCATTTCACAGACACACAGGTTTGACATGTTGGGTATCGATTTATGCAGCGTATCCTCACCTTTTATACTGTACCAATAATGTGATCATTTATTGCTTTTTTCTGCTCTAAAATTATTGTTAGTGTGTTTTTTTTAACTATAATTTTGTGCTTCCTAAAACCAACGCTAATATTGTACGACAGAAAAAATTGGAACTACCACAATTTTATTTTCTAATTTTGCTTTCAGAAAATATCATATTTGGGGGTTTATGTCATCTTCAGGACTAAAGTGATTTTTTTTAAACCATGTGCGCAAAAAAATTAGCAAAATGTCTCTGGTGGCGAAAGGGTTAATATATCCCCAAGGTACTTTCTTTTCACCACTAGATGTCCTCGGTCTTGCAGGTTGAATAGTAGCCAGCATCATTCCACCCACTTCTTCTGTCCAGGCTGGCATTACCTTGCCCAAGGCTGAAGTATAAAAGCAGCTGGGAGGTCATCACTCTGTCACTTTGCCTTTTTCTCCTATCAGCATGCTTTTTGTCGGTACATGGACTGCTTGGCTCTCCCTCTCCCTTTCTGAGCTCTGCTGTATAGTAGTGGTGCACAGAAATGAAAATTTTGGTGCTGAAACTGAAAATTCAGGATGCACTTGGCTGAAAACTGAAACGGACAGTTTTTAAAAAATGTGTATATTTTTCAATTGCTATTTTTTTTGGAAAAAAATACACTTTTATGATTAAAAACCGCATCCAATCTGCATATATGTGAATGGGCGCTTAAAGTGTGACTAAACTCAGGCACCTGCATTCACTATATCTGGTCTCTCAGGACCCTGCATTCACTATATCCAGTCTCCCTGGACCCTGCATTCACTATATCCGGTCTCTCAGGACCCTGCATTCACTATATCCAGTCTCCCCCGGACCCCGCATTCACTGTATCCCGGTCTCCCCGGGTCTCCCCGGACCCCGCATTCACTATATCCTGTCTCCCCGGACCCCGCATTCACTATATCCGGTCTCCCCGGACCCCGCATTCACTATATCCGGTCTCCCCGGACCCCGCATGCATTCATTATATCCGCTCTCTCCCCGGACCCCCGCATTCACTATATCCGCTCTCCCCGGACCCCGCATTCACTGTATCCCCGGTCTCTCCCCGGACCCTGCATTCACTGTATCCGGTCTCCCAGGACCCTGCATTCACACTATGGACCCTGCATTCCGGTCTCCCTGGACCCTGCATTCACTATATCCGGTCTCCCTGGACCCGCATTCAGCTCTCCCCAGACACATCCGGTCTCCCGGACCCTGCATTCACTATATCCGCTCTCACCCGGACCCTGCATTCACTATATCCGCTCTCCCGGACCCTGCATTCACTATATCCGCTCTCCCGGACCCTGCATTCACTATATCTGGTCTCCCCAGACCCTGCATTCACTATATCTGAAATTGAAGAAAAAGAGAGAGAAAAAAATGAACTGGAATGCATAAAAAACTCACTGGAACGGGTCAAAAATTAATCAGAAATGCACTGGAACACTTCCAAAACGTGCACGCGGAAACACGTCTGGAGCGCATTTGGACTGTATTTCTATAGAGTTTTCTATAGCGTTCCGGTTGAAGAAAAATAAGTAGAACAGGCTGCATTTTTCCTGCACAGAACTGTACTGGAATGTACCAAAACCCACCAAAAATGCATTGGTATGCACATGTCCCTATTGAAATTGAAGAAAAAGAGACAGGAAAAATTAACTTGAATGCATAAAAAACGTACTGGAACACGTCAAAAACACACCTGAATGCTTCCAAAACACACATACGGAAAACATGTTTTGGAAGCGTTTCCATATAGTGTGAACCAGCCCTCACTGTTGCGGGTTTAGTAACACTTTAACCCCCCGGTTCACATCTGTGCGGATGGTGCCACTGCGGATCTGCACGAAAATCTGTGCAGTCGCACCACCCGCACAGAGGAATGTGGACCCCCTCGGATGGGTGCCATTACTTCTAATGGCACGCCACCCACACTGGAAAACGCAACCATACTGGGAACCAAGGTTCCCGTGTGGGCTGCGTTTTCCAAAGAAGAGCAGGGACTTCTTCCCTGCGTGTCACGGGCACGGGAGTCCATTCAAACAAATGGGCTCTCATGCCTGTGCAAAACGTGGCCCGCACGGCCATAGAGATGTGAACCGGGGGTAATTATACATGCTGTGCAATCAATGAGGCTGCAGGTGGTCCTGATTAGACTGACCTCTCCAAACTGCACAATGGAACAGAGAAGGGGTAACTGACACGAATGGCTCCAACCTGCAGCTCTGGTAGTGGCGTATTGCAGGCACTGGAGCAGGGGCGGACTGACCATTTGGAAACTCGGGCACTGCCCGAGGGCTGGGGTCAGTAGGGGGCCCCATGAGATGCCCCTGGTACCTTTTTCATAGGCTTTTTTGAGTTTGGGCAAGGACACAGGGGCCCCATGATCCCCTATTTTCCGGGGGCCCCATGAGTTGTCAGTCCACACCTGCACTGGTGCTACCTGGGAATAATGTTTAGAGAGCAAAAGTTAAAGAGTTCAGAGATGATGGGTAATAAAGCAGAGCTAAATTTAGTGTGTAATACAAACCTTCTTCTGAATGGATGTATGAATCCAGGAAAGGATCCCGGAGCAGACAGATCGGTGACATGGTCACACGTTACATCTCACCACCTTATGCTCATTTTGTTATTTTAGCAAACTGTACATTACACCTTGTGGATGCCACTGTTGTCTCATGGCTTTAATAACGAGAATATGAAGTACGGAGCAGACAGCAAGATGAAAGGAAAGAGGATTTTCACAAGTGGCTTTAAAGTGGAACTTCACCCTCTCAATCAACATTTGTAATCTTTATGCTGCTAGCATTAATAAAAAGATAGGAAAGTAGATCATATTTACTAGTGTTAAACTTTTTTTGTACATTTCTTCAATGACTTCCTGGTTTCCTGCCTAGGCCAATGATGTCATACAGTTGCAAGCAAAAGTATGTGAACCCCTTGGGATTACGTGGAGTTTTGCATGAATTGGGCATAAAATGTGCTCTGAACGTCATCTAAGTCACAACAATAGAACACAGTCTGCTGAACATAATACTACACAAACATTAGATGTTGCCATGGTTTAATTGCACTTAACATGTAAACATTCACAGTGCAGGGAGGAAAAAGTATGTGAACATTTAGACTTAATAACTGGTTGACCCTCCTTTGGCAGCAATAACCTCAACCAAACGTTTCCTGTAGTTGCAGATCAGACCTGCACAACGATCTGGAGTCATTTTGGACCACTCCTCTTCACAAAACTGTTTCAGTGTAGCAATATTCTTGGAATGTCTGGTGTGAATCGCTCTCATAATGTCATGCAACAGCATTTCAATCGGGTTGAGGTCAGGACTCTGACTGGGCCACTCCAGAAGGCGTATTCTGTGCTGTTGCAGCCATTGTTTTGTTGAATTACTTGTATGCTTTGGGTCATTGTCCTGTTGCATCACCCATCCTCTGCGGAGCTTCAGTTGGCGGACAGATGGTCGTACGTTTTCCTGCAAAATGTCTTGATAAACTCTGGAATTCATTTTCCCATCAATGACAACAATCCGTCTAGGCCCTGAGGCGGCAAAGCAGCCCCAAACCATGATGCTCCCTCCGCCATGTTTTACAGTGGGGATGAGGTTTTGATGTTGGTGTGCTGTGACTTTTTTTTCTCCACACATAGTGTTGTGTGTTCTTCCCAAACAACTCAATTGTCAGGAATGGTGCGGACTGACACAGGGAAACGCAGGTTTCAGGTATAGTATAATACAGGTTATTAGCCACCCAGATATATATATATATATAAACGCACAGTGAGCAAACTAACCTTCCACTAATCTTAGGAGGTGCAGGAACACAGGCGTAGTCAGGGCTGGAGAGGTGGAATGGTCAGGCCGGCCGTAGGGTTCTGTAACGACTGCCTGGTGGTACCCTCTAGCGGTCCTCAGGGCAGGATTCCCCCAGGGCGCGGAGTCTAAGGTCCCAGTCTGCTATTCACCAGGGCCCTGATGGTGGGGTAATGGACTTGGAGCAGACAGGAACCAGGTCGCGGCCCTGAGTACACCTGCTAGTGATAGAGGGATCCCGCAGAGGTATGTGCAGGTACGGCTGGATCCGTGCAGGATGGATGGGATGGCAAGAGTAAGTTAGCGTGGTCAGACGGGGCCAAGTCAGCAACGTGCGGGCAGCAAGGTATCAAAGGTAGCAGGCAGAGAATGGTCAAGGTCACAAGCCTGGGTTCAGTAACTCACGGGACAGCGCAGTACAGAGGATCAGGCAGAAGAATAGTCAGGGATGAGCCAGTAGTCAGAGCAGGAGTCGGTCAACAGGAATCAGGATCAGACAGGGTCGGCAACAAGGTATCTTCTCACAGGAAATAGGAAAACAGGATACAGGGGCACATGGGAGACATACACCAAGGCACAGAGCACAGCCCGGTCATGCCTTATATACACCTTTCTGTAATCAGCCCAGGTTTGGCTGATTGTGAGCTTCTGGCGGCTAAGAAGCACACCACCCGTGGTCAAGCTCTGGTACTGCAGCCCACACGGCAGGAGAGTCCCACCACCAGTTGCTAAGAGCACCCCGCTGGTAGCTCTGTAGTACTGCTAGCCCACACGCAGGAGAGTCCACCACCCGAAGTGCTGAGAGCACCCGCTGGTCAGCTCTGGTACTGCAGCCCACACGGCAGGAGAGTCCCACCACCAGTGCTGGAATCCATTCCTGACAGAACCCCCCCCCTCAAGGCGCGGCCTCAGGACGCTCCAAACAGTCCTTAGTGGGCGAAATGTTCCACCGCCCGGGTCCCGGTAACTGGCTGAATATCCTACTGCGGAGTAAACCGGCTGGCTTGGTTTCTGCTGGTAGATCTTCTCTTTGTGTAGGAGAGAATCAAGGAAGGCAGATCACTGGGCCCAGGATTTCCAGAGTCAGGCTGGGTATCAGTTATGGCGGCCAGTTTACTGGACGTCAGGGGCTGGCAATGCGGGCTGTGTAGCGGGCAGAGGCACGTCAGCGGGCACCGAGTATCCTGGCACGACAGCGGGGCACGATGTCACCATGGGCAACGTCAGCGGGCACCAAGCCATCTAGCAGAACGCGGTCGGGAACCACGGGTCACCAAGCTCCGACAGCAGGCACCAAATGTACCTGGCACGAAGCGGGCACTGAGTCAACTGGCATCGAGTCATCTGGCTCGACAGCGGGCACCACAAGTCATCAAGCATCAAGTCATCCGGCTTCAACAGCGGGCACTGCGTCACACTGGCACCGAGTCAACTTGTACGACAGCGGCATCAAGTCAACTGGGCATCCGAAACATCAGGCATCAAGTGCATCTGGCTCGACAGCGGGCACCGAGTCAACTGGCACACGAGTCAACTGGTACGACAGAGCGGGCACCGAGTCCAACTGGCACCGAGTCAACTGGTACGACAGCGTGGCACCCACCGGGGTCAACTGGCACCCGAGTCAACTTGGTACGACAGCGGGCACCGAGTCAACTGGCACCGTAGTCAACTGGTAGATGACAGCGGGCACCGAGTCAACTGGCAACCCGAGTCACCTGGTTATGGACAGCGGGCAGAGTCAACTGGCACCCGAGTCATCCGGCTCAACAGCGGGCACTGAGTCATTCAGCATCAAGTCATCCGGCGTCAACAGGGGCACTGAGTCAACTGGCACCGATTAACTGGTACGACAGGCGGGCACCAAGTCAACTGGCACCCGACATCATCAGGCATAAAGTCATCGGCTCGACAGCGGGCACCGAGTCAACTGGTACCGACAGCGGGCACCGAGTCAACTGGCACGACAGCAGGCACGAGTCAAACCGGCATCAAGGTCATCCAGCTCAAACAGCGGGCACTGAGTCAATGGCACCAAGTCAACATGTACTCACAGCAGCCCAAAAAACCCAAGTCAACTGGCACCGAATCATCAGGCACCAAGTCAAACTGGCTCGACAGCGGTACCGAGTCTAACTGGCACCAAGTCAACTTGTACGACAATCGGGCACCGAATTCATCAGGCATCAGTCATCTGGCTCAACAGCGGGCACTGAGTCAACTGGCAACCCGAGTCAACTGGTACAACAGCGGGCACCAAGTCAACTGGCACCGATATCATCAGGCATCAAGTCATCTGGCTCGACAGCGGGCACCAAGTCAACTGGTAGGATGGTACAGTGAGTTGGGAGCAGGCGGGTACCGACATGTGGCAGATTGCTCGGTATACTTGGGCTGTCACTTGGGGGGGCTGTCACTGGGGGTGCTGTCGGGAATGCAGGAAAAGAGCTTTGAGCAGAGGAATGATGATGAAACAGGACTGGTTCGTTGCAAAGCTGACTGAGGGCTGGGTGTAACAAGTCTGTCCATGTCT